TTGTATATACAAAAACACAACAAGGGGTTCTTAAATGTCCCCACTCCTTACAAAGCAAATAAATATAAATGGCTCTAAATACACTTTGACTAAATCAGTAAATAAACTCATTATAATTACAGTATTCTCCCCTCCTAGTGCTGGAAGTATACTTTTTTTTTTAGTGTTGGAGTGTAGGCTGGGGCATGCCCAAAATAAGGCACCCTGAGGTAGTAGCCTCGGGGTGGCATCTCATTGGGGGTAAGGGGGGGGCAGCACGGGTGACTAACAGCACCCCTCCCCCCCCCCCGCGGCGCGGGCGGCTCCTCTGCCCCCCCCCCCCCCCCCGTGGCAGCTCTGCCTTCTGCCGCCGAGCGGACAGCTTGGCCTTTCGCTGCCTCTTGCTCAGCTGATACCTTGGCTCCCTTCTCCTGGCTGCCTTAGGTGGCAAAAAAGGTAGGGGTGGCGGTGAGAGTAGGGAAGGGATAAAACTCCTATCAAGGTTTATTTTGCTGTCTGTGTCCTCTAATACTTGACCTTAACACACCAAATAGTGAAAGGAAACTCTTACAAAATGAGAGTTTCCCTCACAGACAGCTGTCACCAGAATATGTGTCCATGTTGAAAAATTTACCCTCACCTCTTGCTCTTGCGGCGACTCTCACATTTTGGATTTCCCATTATCTCAGAGATAAAAGTCACTAGGACAGAGAGGAAGGATGACTCCCCCGAGAGGGTACACGGACCATAAAAAATACATACACCTAAAATCCCTAATTTTAGCAGTGACATATTTACTTGATAAGGGGTGCAACATACTTCTCTCTTATGGCGGGGCGTGTTTAAACTAGTTGGATTACTTGGCAGATGAAGCAATATAGACACTCACATTTGACCTAGCAGCCAATATTGGGGATTTACTAAGAACAGACAGACTCTGCATCAGCAGTGCATGGCAACCAATCAGCTTCTATCTTTTGCTTTCAAAGCGTAACTGAACAAACTGAAGATAGAAGCTGGATTCCCCTCTCCCCGCTCTGATCTGCCAGCGCTGACTGGCGGAACGGACGGGGGAGGGGGCGGGTACAGCTGGCTCTGCCTCTAGATAGGCAGAGCCAGCTGTCACTCACGCAGCTTGGCGGATCCCGTCATCTACGTCGGGATCCGCTCCAGGTGCGGCGTCTCAGTATACCGCGAGCTGTAGCTCGCGGTATACTGAGCTTAGGGTAAAGCAAGGACGCTAGTTTGTGTCCTCCCGTTACCCCAAAGAGAACTATGGGGAAAAACACTGACCCCATAGTTCTCCTTACATTAAACATACATTATATGGCCAAATTTTGTGAACACCTGACTCACACCTCTATGAGCTTGTTCACACCTATGAGCTTGCTAGACTTCCAATTCCAAAATGATGTGCCTACTGTACATATGGAGATGACCCTCCCTGTATGGCTATACCAGCCTTCACTCTTCTGGGAAGGCTTTCCACAATATTTTGGAGATTGTCTGTGGGAATTTGTGCCCATTCAACCAAAGGAGCATTTGTGAGGCCAGGAACTGATGTTGGATGAGAAGACCTGGCTCCCAATGCAATTCATTCTAGATGTTCAGTAGGCTTGAGGTCGGGGCTATGTGCAGGACACTGGAGTTCCTCCAGACCAGATTGGCCACACCATGTCTTAATGGAGCTGGCTTTGTACACAGGGGACAGTCATGCTGGAACAAAAAAGGGTCTTCACCAAAGTGTTACGTAGGTTGGAAAAGCACAATGTCTTTGTATGCTGTAGCGCAGAGGTAGGCAACCTCGGCACTCCAGCTGTTGTGGAACTACAACTCCCATTAGGCATTGCAAGCCTCTGCAGCCACAGGCATGACTCCTAGAAACAAATGTATGATGTGATTTGTGGTTTCACCACAGCTGGAGTGCCGAGGTTGCCTACCCGTGCTGTAGCGTTAACAGTATACCCTTCACTGGAAACAACAGAACCCAATCATTTATGGAGGAGCCCACGTACGTTTAGCTATATAGTGAAGGTAAGATGGTCAGATATCCACATACTATTGTCCACACTGCACTTATCCTGGAACAATTTGGAACCGTACATTGACTTAAAAGAACCAGTTTCCTCTTACAACTGGAAAATTACCAAACTTCTCAATGGGTAAAAAAAAGGGGGTATTTAAATGCAAAAATCATAGACCTGAAGCTGTAATAAATAATTTTTTCTGTGTGGTGCATACAAGGTAAACTATGCCGGGGAATAAGTCATATTGAACATTTCTTAAGATTACAGGCGGCTTGTATTTAAGGCTTTTAAGAAAATCACAGTGATGTGAAAATGCATTTGCATACGTTCATTGCTTTCCTTTTGTTGCGGAAAACTTGTTCTGTTCGGCACATTTACTTCCATCTCGGGAAGAATGCATCATTCATCGCGTCTGCCGGGGAAGGGGCGGCGAGAGGAGGGGGCACATTGTACCCTGGTGCTTGTTAATAAAAATAGAGACTAAAAACGACTTCATGGAAGTTCTAGCAATATCAAAATTGCAACTCTGTCTGGATGTGTTCACCTCAATCTGTTGCTCCCCGCTGGGAAGTAAACTTTATGAGTGGTAGTGTTTTCACCTCTGCCGGCGGGAGGCTGTTAAAGTATTTTTTTTAAAACTGATATTGGCTGCCATTGCTTCTTAAAAAAAGCTCGCTGCCTGACTGTCTAAAGCTTCAGTAATTCTAATTTATTTTTTCGGTAAACTCGATCTGCATAAATGTATCAAATTGTGTCAAAGACCAACTCCAGCCAAAAGATTTTTATTTGGTTGGAAAGAGCGATGGAGACTTGTGGCCTCTGTCAAATTGTATTGCTGTCTGTGTACCTGTTGGAGCACTTTCATGATCCTCTTGGGAGGAGTTATGCAAATATGAAAATGCCTTGATGGGTGGATGCCAGTCTGGAGTAGTGGGCATTCCTGGGCAGGCTGTATCTGCATGCAGGCCAGCCTAGGTAACGCCCACATGTGATGCAGAACCTCCATGATTGAAAGAACTGAAATCCAATGAATTAAATAGGTGGTCCTGTGACAGGTGACTGTCCCTAGTCAGGCTGGGGAGAAGAGGGCTAGATCAATGGTAGGCAAGCTTGGCACTCCAGCTGTGCTAATGCCTCTGCCTCAGGGAGTCATGCCTGTGTCTGTCAAGGCCTAATGAGACTTATAGATACAAAACAGCTGGAGCACCGAGGTTGCCTACCCCTGGGCTAGATGGCCCTTGACTTCCTCCAGCTAGGAAATGAGGCGGGTTCTATCTGACTTGCTGCAGAAGCTCAACGTCTGCAGTGACATCAGAGTAAGACATTTTAATACAGCATAAGGGCTCGTTCACACCAAATGCAGTACATTCCGGCCCGATTCTGGCCAGAACGTACTGCATCGCATTGCGGCCGGCTCACTATGTTGTGGGGCAGGAGGGGGTGTGGCGGTCCATTGAAGAGAATGGCACCATAACCACGCCCTTCGGCCACAATGCGATCGGCCGCACGGGGTCCCAAGGCACATTATGCCTGCGGTCCGGTCCGACCAATAGTGCTTGCAGCATTTTGTTCGGACCGGACCGCAGGCCTAATGTGCCTTGGGAGCCCGTGCGGCCGATCGCATTGTGGCCGAAGGGCGTGGCTATGGTGCCATTCACTTCAATGGACCGCCACGCCCCCTCCTGCCCCACAACATGCACTGCATCTGGTGTGAACGAGGCCTAAGAGCTAATACAACTGTGCAAGACTGAAGATGTTCAGCTTTACATTGAGTGTAGTCATCTAAGCAGACCTTCCATTATCATGAAAGGGCCTCTTTAAGGAATAAAGACAATCATGGAATGTTCTATACTTTTCCTCTAAAAATGACTTTCTTTGATCACCGTGCCGCATTCGACTTTGCAGGGCCTGTGCCTGTGCAGAATGTAATCCAAGTACTTAAATGATCGCTGCTAATTGAATTCTTGGAATGCATAGCCAAATCACCTTGCAGCGTCGGGTCCTGGGCAGTGTGTGAGTTGTCTGGGCGAGCTTGTATTTGCATGACAGATAGGGGCGGCTCTGCCCTCTGTAGGTGACATTCCCTGGCACCTTTTGGAAAGCAGACGTGTCTGTTGTGAATCGATCGCCTCCCCTGAATCTGCAGCGTGTGCAACTGTACTCTGATCACATTGTCTGCATCCAATGAATATTAATCAGTTCCTTGTTGAGTCTGTGTCTTCCTGACGATGAAAGTGCTTTTTATTGCTTGCTCTTGTCTGATACGGTGTTCTGTTTATCTACAGCACTCAGGTATTAGTCTGTTAAATTAATAATGTATATACATCAGAAGGCGATGAATGCCATATATGCATTTTTATTCTCTAAATCAGGATAATCTTTAACAAGCTGTCGGTATGGAGACACGTGCGAGGGGAGTGTAAATGGGGGAGGATGCTAAAGCAGAGTTGCATTTTAAGAGCTGGACCCTGGGCAGGACGTGAGCCAAAGAAGCTCCTGTATTCAATAACACATCATTAAGGGTTGCATTTATAAACGTTCGCAGAGCTATTAGCTGTGTGTGAACATCTACATTTTAGATTGAAGCCCTATTATGACCACCAGATGGTGCTGAGGAGCAAAAGAGAGAGTTAAAGTGACATTAAACCCTCAGATTTTGTAACATAAAACAATACTGTAATGTGCGACTTACTGTAATCCATGGTTGTTTCCCTTAAATTTGCTGTAAATATTTCGATGCCCATAGCTTGGCCTCATTTCCACCTAAAATCCCACTTTCATTACTTGAAAACATATATAAAAAAGTATATTTGTAAATAAAAAAATCCCTGTATTTCAAACATGCGTTTCATAGTAAGAATGAATGGTAACATTGTAGCAGCACGGGATGGCTGATAGCTGTCTCCACTTCAGGAATATCTTCTAAAAAATAAAGCCGATGTTGGATCGTTAGTGTGTTGGTGACGATTTTCCTGTCTTTTCAACTTTCCGCAGATAATTGCAATGATCCCTTGGTTTCCCAGCTGCCGCACTCGGCGTTTGACAGCTCCTCGCAACTGTTCAGCCACAGCAACGTGAAGCTCAACAGCCACAATGGTAAGATCCGTGTTTGAAGTATCTGTCACTGTCTAGCGTGCTGTCATGAATAATTCATCTGGCTGCGAATGTCTAACCAGAATCAGCTCCTCGTGTGAGAATTATTACAAGGAAACAGATTATTCCCTGAAATATCTCTAGCAAAATAAACAAGGGGTGGAATAAAAAAATACATTTCTAATAAAAATGTATCTTATTTGTGTATCACTCGGCTGTAGATCCTCCAATCATCTCTGAATTGGTGCTGATACTGTCCTTCCTTCTGGAGGGGGGCTACTTTTGTTCCCCATGGTCCCTGTGTGTGTTGTAGAGTAGTCACCATTCCAAGATCGCTCCCGGGATGGACTATAATCTCAGGTTTAGTTTAGTAATTTGTATTGGGATTGTAGTCCTTCACGCGAGTGAGCTTGGAGCGGTGACTACTTTACAACACACACCGGGACCATCGGGAAGAAAAGTTGCCCCCCTCCAGAAGGAAGGACAGTGTCAGCACCAATTCAGGGCCGGTGCACACCTAGACGACTCCTGGCAGGTTGCCGCATGGTCACGAAGTCGCCCCGCACACAGGGTCGCGCTGTGGGTGCCATTATTTTCTAATGGCACCCCAGTCGCGCCGGGCAGATCGCGAGACTACCCGCTGCGATTCCGCCCGTGCATCCGAACTCAATAAAACAGCCACTCGTCGTGTATCGCAAAAAAAAAGGTACATGTACCTTTTTTCTGCGATTGCCACGCGGATGTCACCAATGGGGCCGTGCGGCAATCGCTGTCCGCATTGTGCAGGACAGGACGCGTGATCCCGGATCGCTTAGGTCTGCACTGGGCCTCAGAGATGATTTGAGGATCTACAGCCGAGTGATACACAAATAAGATACATTGTTGTTACTAGTTAAGGTACTTGAAAGTAATTGTAAGATTTACCTTCTGAGTTTAGTGTCACTTGATCAGAAAACCACCCAGCAGCCAGTTTCATTATGTAGTCCCTGTCCATGGTGCTGAAGTGACTCAAGACTCTGAAACTTGTAGTTAAGTGAGCCTAGTTTTGTCCCCAGAAAACTACAATGGGATTTTTTTTTTATTTTTCCCCTCCCCTGTGACCCATTGATATGTTGATTCAATAAAATAATCTAACTATTCTATCCTTGTTTTGGAAGACATGTTAAGTATATATATAAGTACATATTGTATCTTTTGGTACAGTATTATATTTATGTGAAGCACTGAGGCACTGGGTTGGTTTATTGGATTGAGTGCTGCAATCACCATATGGATGATCTAAAATAAAGATGTAATTGGCTGATATGAATACAGAGTATCTGGAATGATCAGAAATATAAGATCTATCTATCTATCTATCTATCTATCTATCTATCTATCTATCTATCTATCTATCTATCACGAGCCCTGTATATATATATATATATATATATATCCCAGATAATCTGTATTCATGTCAGACAAAGACATCCATATTTTATGAGAGATTCAGACAGCTGGTGACACTCCTTGAAGTTGTCAGTCAGATGTCACTGCATTTCATCCGGCGCTACTTTATTGCTCATGATCCTTCAATTATTTCATGACATCAGCCGGCGCTGTATGCAGAGTTTCACTGTGAAGTGTTGGAGAATTTTGGGACGGAGGAGCAGATTGTCGGAAGCATGCAGAGAATGATGAGCAGGGCTCCCCTAGCACTCATTTCGAGCACAGTTTTATGTGTGTGTTGCTCAGATTTTTCCGACTCTCCATATTACGGTGACCTAAAACTGCATTTCAATGAGGAATATTACAGAGTGGAGCCGACTATTGTGGGAGCCATCTGTGCTTTTAGAACTGGGGCCTTCTGTGCTCTGGCTGCTCCTTCCGGTCCCCTAGGCATTAAGGTTGTGATGCTGCAATGGATTCTGGAAGACAGAGGACTTTTTTTTCCATCTTGTGACGCACTCTCAGAACACAGGGTGAAGAAGTTCTGTGACCACCATTTGCATCTTCCAGATGTTGTACCTAGCAATGAGCATAATGATTTAGAAGATAGTTAAAGCCGAACTTCAACTTTTTTCACTCTCAAACTAAATGGCCCAGTGTCCTTACCTGAATCCGTGGTCCTGTGACAAGGCAAGAGCTAAGCATTCCTTTTTTGTGGGCTGCAGAGGGTCTTTTTTTAGGGGCCCCATCACTTCCCCCTGGTAAAATGGAAGCTTTCCATTGGCTATTATCACTTGGCCTTATATCTGTTGTCATCTGAATCAGTTCCTGATACTATTAGATCTGTCTACTCAGGAACATTTTTGAGTCAAATAAATACTCTAATATGTTGTTTAAGCCCTGATGAAGGGGGATTTTACGGTCCCCAAAACATGTTGGCTGGCCTATACTTTCTTGAAAAGTTATACATGGATTGTGGGCTCCCAAGACAATTTGTTCTGCTCTTATTGGCTCATTTATACATGACTTTCCTTTGGCTGTCCATTAGAGGGATCCTTTCAGTGTCCTAAAGACTCTAGCAGAAACGTGATGTCAACACAACATGGGGCAGCAACAGGAATGGTCCGTGGTGGGACTGGTTGGACGTGGTGGGACTGGAATGCACCAGTGACTTACTTGCCTTCATTCCTAAAAAGGGTCATGTGACATGAATTAAAAAAGGCTTTGGAAGGGTTTTGTTTGTAATTTGTTAATGATGGGAGCAGTGTGTGAAAGATAGGACAGGGAAGGAGGGATTATAAAGAGAATTTGCCTGGGGATTTTAAAAGAGAGGTTTTTAAAAACCCTTATTAAATTCCACCAGCTGACAGAAGGTCACCAGAGATGTGGCAAGCTGTCCAAAGCTGAGTCCTATACTTTCCAAGTAAGGAGTGTACCAGTTTGCTCTTCTTTTGACCATTTCACCAATTCACTTGAGTAAAGGCCCCATAGACGGCTCCAAATTCAGCAGGAATCGGGCCAAATTCGAGCCATGGGTGGTCCTGAAAGCACTGCAAGGGTCTTACGCATCTCCCCTCCCAGCTTTTAGCAACCTAGGATCCCCCCGAGCTCCTGATAACTGGTGATGCCACTGGTTGCCAGGAGCTCGGCAGGATGCTTGTGGAATGCAACCATTTGTCCCCGCAGCTTCAGGTGGCAAAAAGGCTAGGGCCACCTCTGACTGTGACTGTGTTGGGTGGAGACTTACCAGCTGAACAGTGACTGCTCCCTATCAGATACAGTTACCATTTTGTAGGGCAACTGTACTTAGGCATCTGTCTGAAAACAATAGTCATCAGTGGAGATTTCTTCATCCACACTGTTAGCACGGTTTTAGTCTGCGAGGTGAGCGGTAGAAAATCGAGCCGTCTATGGCCAGTTTGATTCGGCTTCTCCAGCGAAGCGAATCGCCACTTCCCAGCAAACGTTGGGTTTGAGCATACTAGCTGGTTTCGCTCATGCCTAATCATTTGGAGTAGAACATCTCTAGAACATCGAGAGCCTTAGGAAAATAAACAGATGTGGAACGCCATTAAATTATTCAGCAACATATGCTGAAAAAAAATAAATAAAACTGAGGCTTTATTAGTTATCAAAATATTCAGCTCTGTCAGGTCAGCACCGGAGGATCGGGTATAAAATACCGCAAATAAAAATAATGGTATTTTCAAAGTCGTCTGTCACACACCAAAGGAAGGCTTTTATCTGCACATTAAAGGTGCCGCAACAGATGGGATCTATTTATTCCATGCGCCGGAATAAAATGCCACACACCAAAAACTATTGCATATCCTGGGGGGGAGGGGCTCTTACTCTGGTTATGTAGAGTTGTTGATGCACATTGACTGATAGAGCAAGTAACAAATACTGTTACAAATAAAACAAACCTGCTTATAACTGGTGTTCTATCGAATTCTCCAACTCGTCGAGACCACTAACTCCCGTCAGTGCGCTTGTACAACCACCCCAGAGAAGTATCGAGCTCCACAATCTGCGGCAGTGCGTCTACGCAGGCATCTGATGCTACAAGCACCGACGGGAGTTGGAGAAATCAATGACAATTTAGAAGTCTACGGCAACTGCAGAAGTCAATGAGGATTGCAAAAACTAGTGCCATCTTGTCGAAATCCCACGGACATGTTGGAGATCTGGACAAGTTGGCCACCTCGACAGAACATCTCCCCTTTTTTTTAAAAAGCAAACTCCAGCCAAAAGTTTTTTCTAGCTATGCATATCATGAGGAAGGGTTTCAACCTCTGCCATGCATATATTGCTGCCTGCAACTGTAATGGAGGGGATTTTCCTTAATTTCCTGTGTGGTCGACAGGACAGAACATAAGGGGAATTTCTCCCACTGAGAAACAATAAAAGCACTTTTATTTTATGAAGCAGGAAATGTTAATAGTAACTGTGTGTGTTGTAAAGGAGCTCGCTCCATGATGGACTACAATCTCATGTTTAGTTTACTGATTTGAGATTGTAGTCCATCCCAGGAGTGAGCTTGGAGCGGTGACTACTTTACAACACACACAGGGATCATGGGGAACAGACGTAGCCCCCCTCCAGAAGGAAGGACAGTGTCAGCACCAATTCAGAGATGATTGGAGGATCTACAGCCAAGTGATACACAAAGAAGATACATTGTTGTTCATAGTTAAGGGACTTGAATGTATTTTCTAGATTTAAAGTGACATTAAACCCTCAGGGTTTTTTTCATATTTCTACTGCTAACAAGCAGAAGATATATGCAAAAACATTTTAAAAAGTTACCAAATAGGTTTAAACTTACCCATGTCTCTGCCGCGCACTCCCGTCCAAAGATCTGAAGATTCTCAGGCGGCTGCAAAGGATCATGGGGTGGGCGAATGCGCAGTAGAGATCTTCGGCCGGGAGAAGAGGAGAGACACAGGGTAACTCAATGCAGGCAGTGTGCACCCACACAGACTCCATGGGACAGGAAGGGACAGGAAGAGACTCCTGAAAACTACAGGAAAGAAGAAGATGATCGGATCAAGAGTCATCATTGAAGTCCTCAAAGCAGCATTAGGGAGGGGCAGAATTTTTTGCCTTTAAAGGAGAAATATGGGGTTAGGGCTTTTCCCCATAGTTCTCCTTAGGGTAACGGGAGGACACAAACTAGCGTCCTTCCGTCACCCAAAGCTGTAGCTCGCGGTATACTGAGGCGCCTCAGCTGAAACGGATCCCGACAATTATGTCTGTATCCGCCCAGCTGCGTGACTGACAGCTGGCTCTGCCTATCTAGATTCAGAGCCAGCTGTACCCACCCCCTCCTCCGTCCGTTCCGCCAGTCAGCGCTGGAGGATCGGAGCGGGGAGGGGGGAATCCAGTCCCTCCCCTGCCACGACTCTCTGCAGTGACAGGATCGAGAAGTGAGTGAGCGCCGGTATGTGTTTGTTCACTTCCCGATCTACTGAGCCGACCTGTGACCGTTTCATTGTCAGAGGTTGGCTGGAACTATGAGGATGAGCGAAAAATCACTCACCTCATAGTTCTCCTTTAATGTCACTTTAACTCACTTTAACAGTCCCTGTCCATGGTGCTGAAATGACTCTGAAACCTGTAGCTAAGTGAGCCTAGTGTTTTCCCCAGAGAAGCGGAATCTCCCCAATAGGAACACCAGTTCCAGGGATATCTAAGAGGGAAATTCCCCTCACTTTGGGAGATTTCCTTCCAATACCTGTTGCATTTCTAAGACAGAAAGTGAAGTGCAAATTCCCTAATGATATCCAGACAGCAAAAAATAATAACTGGGAGGGGTTTAACCCTTACCTGCTCTATCAAAATGAAACAAAGGTTTATCTATACATACACTTTAAAGTTGAACTTTTAAAATATATATTATTATTGTTTCATGGTTTAGTTATAAATACCTAGTTGCATCAATTTGTGTCTATTATATGTGCCTGGATTTCAGCTTTAAACCCATGATCCAGATGTTGCAAGGCAAGATGATTATCCACAAGGAATGGCAAAGATACACAGGTAGTTTCACCCTCTTTGGATATGACCCCATCGATGTAGTCACCTAATTTGCATTACATTCATATCATTATTGTTCCGCGAATGAGGCACTACCTTGAGTTTAACAACGTTCATTTAGTTCAGCCCTTAAGAACATGAGGATTGTGTATTGTCAGATACAGTTTGATGAATTCTTCTTCTGAAGTCAGTGACAGAACAATGCAGTGATTACATTTTGGATACAATGTGTTTATGTATCTTTGTTCTCTTTGATACAGGAGCTGGTGGCTGGACGCCGCTGGAATCAAATGGGAAGCAATGGCTGCAGGTGGATCTAGGAGAGCGATTCAACATCACCGGGGCAGCCACGCAAGGCAGATACGGAAGTTCTGATTGGGTCACACGTTTTAGCGTGATGTTCAGCGACACGGGACGCAACTGGAAACCGTATCATCATGACAACACCATCTGGGTAGGCCTCGAAATTGAATGCTTTCTGAATTATTTTTTTTAACAGATGGTTTCTGCCGACAGAAAACTGTCCCCTTGTTAGCCAATGTTCTCAGAGACTGTGAATTGTAATGTTTTAGTATTAGGGGGGTATATTTATAAGGCAGCGAATCAGACATTGAGAAAACATTCCCTGCAGGTGAAAATCTTCCAGGCCCATGTGTTTTAAATGACAACACTTGATTCTCCACCAAAGAATGTTGGGTGAAAGTCACATGTTTTATAATGCTTAATGCTTTATAAATAGATAGACTGGTGTGCTGGGAGGGAGGATTAAGATGTATATTTGGTGTTGGGAGGGGCTAAAGAGAATTGTATATAGTGAAGTCCAGTGTAACAGGGATGAGCCTCACCTAGAATTATGGAGGAAAAAGCTGTCAGCTTCATGTTTGAAGCTGACAGCTTTTTCTCCATTCAGATCGGCATCTATCAGGTTACACAGCAGGGAAATCCTCCCAGCTGTGTAACCTGTCATGGACGGAGACCTCAGCAGTGAGGTGCAAGTGAGAGACAGGGAGGCTCCTCCCCGTCTCCTGCCTTCCTCCTTTAAACTAGCTTGGGGACGGGGTGTGGCTTCGTCGGGCGGGGACGGGGCTTTGGCCGGCAATGGGTGGGGCTTCTGCCAGTGGGGGGGGGCAGGGCTTGCTGGGGGCGAGGCTGGGGAATGCCTCACCATGCCTCACCCGGAACAAGAGGTAGCACGCGTCACTGCAGTGTAAGGCCCCATTCACACTGAGCGACATGAAAATTGCGCGATTTTGAGCGATATTGCGCGACAAGCGATATTGGGCGACGTGCTGCACGACATCGTGCAACTTTTTCCTATTGGGCTGTATGAAATCAGGAGCACTATCGCTCGAAATCGCTCGAAGAAAGGGTCATGTAGGAGCGACAAGCTACCAGCGACGAGCTACAAGCAATATTGAGCGACGAGATGTGAACAGCTCCATTGAAATGGATTGGAGAAGCTACATAGAGCGATATCGCGTGGAAATATGAGAAAAGGACCTCAGTGGGGTATCGCAGCTAAAAATGAATTCTGTATATATGAAACAATTGTATTTCTTGGCACTTATATTCTCACGGGGTCCGAGAGTACCTAACTGACCTCTGGTAGAGTATTGTAGCTAAAAAGTATGTATACAAGGGTCATATAATATCAAAGCACTTATATTCACATGGGATCCTAGAGAGAGACCTAGAGTGGAGACCCCATTGGGGTATCACAGCTAGAAATGGATATATATTTCTTAGCAATTATATTCTTAAGGGGCCTTAGAGAACCGGAATGACCTCTGGTGGGGTATTGTAGCCAAAAAGAATATATATGAGTTATATATCTATGCACGTATATTCACAGGGGGTCATAGAGTACCTGAACAGACCCCTGGAGGATTTCAGCTAAAAATGGATTTATATGAGACAGTTGATTATATTTGCACTTATATTCTTAGGGTGTCTTAGAGTACCTGACTGACCTCTGGGTGGGTAGCGTAGCCAAAAGGATTTATATCACACAGTTATATTTCTTAGCTCTTATATTCACAGGGAGTTATAACTGACCTCTGCTGGGTTATTGTATTAGAATTAATATATATACTTCAATTGTATTTCTTAGCACTTATATTCTTAGGGGGTCCTAGAGTACTTTGCTGACATCCGGTGGGGTATTGCAGCCAGAAAGGTTAAGAGGCTCTTATAGAGGGATTGTATGCATGAATGCATTTCCATTTCTCTAAGTTAGGCTGACCTTTTTTTCCATGGTTAGCATTCTTTATCAGGAAAAAAAAAAAATTATTTCATCATTGGATACTTTTTTTTTCTAAAAGGCACTAAATGTGTTTTCTCTTTTCATTGTATCGGTGACATTAATGCAAATGGAACCCAGACAAGTCGATGGTGCAGTCTTCCCTAAAAGCCAAATTTTCTTCCCTTCGAATCAAAGGAAATAAAGTAAAAAGGAATTTTTCTTGTAGCTATATGTCTCGCGGAGTATTAAAGCCGGCGCCGCTTACAGCGCCTCTAGATTGAAATGGATGGTAAAAGAGTACGGCATCAATTATGCAGCATTAAGAGTTTTTCGAGACGCTTTATTGTGCAGGACCTCCTACGATGCAGCTCTTAATAATGCCACACATTTAGCTGCCTTCACTCTGAGCTGCACTTACTTTCATCCTCGTGGAACATGTGGAATTTCCATTTAGTTGTTTGGTGTGCATTTCTTTTATAAGTTCTGATGATTCAGCCGAGAAAGTTTCCGAGCTCCCAAGTTTTTGTCTACATTAAGAGAGCCTGTCAGGGTAGAAATACAAAGGCCGTCATTGGTGCCTTGTTTTTTGAAAGAGCCGCTATTACTGCAGTGGTTAGTCACTTCCTGCCGGGGGTTGATTTACTAAGAGTAGAGAAGGTTCACTTAGGGAAGTCAATGCATTGAAGTTGCATTCAGTGCTGTACATTATTATTACAGCTACTTATATAGCGCTGACAATTTTACGTAGCACTTTACATAGTTGCACATTCACATCAGACCCTACCCTCAAGGAGCTTACAATCTAAGGTCCCTATCTCGCATGCACACACAGAGGGCCAACTTAGAAAGGAGCCAATTAACCTACCAGGTAATTGTGACGCTGCTTCATAATAAATGAACACAAGGATTTCACAAAAATCTCTTTGAGTGCTGGTGATCCTCCTTCTACACACATTAAAGAAGAACTCCATTTAGTTTTGGTCTAGGGGGTGGCATTTATGAGATATACTCACCTGATCCTCGGTCCTGCTCACCACGTTCCCCCCCCCCAACTCACGCTATGGAATGTTCCTCGGCGCCCTCACATCTAATGCAAGTAAATGGACCTGCACAAGTTTAACGTGTACGGCACCATCAGTGATCATCACTGTGTGCACCACCTGTTAATCTGAGGTCGTGAATGCTGTAAGGAGTGCAGGGGACACATCTGTACATCTTCTTTAAAGTGTAACTTGTAAGGTCATCTTCAGAAACATGTTAAAGGGATAACTAAACCCACTAGAGCCTGATCACCAATCCTTAGACCGGTGTAAGAAGAGGCTGCGAGGACCGGTCTGGCAGTCAGGCAGGGTTGAAGATCTGGTGAGTATATTTTTTTATTCGAGCCCCTAAAATGAGCAGTCAACCCTTGCAGTGCTGGGCTAGTCCTACTCAAAGGACTCATTTTTAATTAATTAATATTAATTAATTAATTTTAAACATTTCTGGAGTTTCACTTTAAGATTATAATGCTCTGAGGAAGGTATAGTAAAATCAAGAAACGTGTTGTCTAGAAAGACACCGGTCAAAACATCTTTGCACCATTTGTCCATTTTTTGCGTTATAAAAGATCACTCCTCTGGACTGAAGAGGACCACTCGCTTTTTGCTGTGCCATGTTAGACATAAAAATCGTAACAGATGTTTCCACATTTCCCCAGTCTACTCTAAAAAAAAAAAGATTGTCAGGAGTTGGAATTTAAACTGATCGCTTTCACGCATCTGTATTGAACAACTTGTAAGTGGGCTATAATTTCCCTTTAAGTAACCAGAATTACAAACATGGGATATTTCTCTTGGAGACTCGCACCCATCCACCATCTGTCAGCAGATCCACAACACTAATTAAACATGCAATTTCCAAACTTGGCATCTCCACTGCAAATAAACTATTTCTGATTGAGGAGTGTGCTTATCTGGTCGGGATGTAGGACGGGGGTGGGGGGTTCTAAAGCTTTCCTCTAAACAGACGCATCATTAATTTGCTCTCGGCAAACAGTTTGTGCAGATTAGCCAAGTTAGTTCACAGAGATAAGCAGTTTGCAAACAATGGAACATGGCGTGGTGCGCCCTCTGTGACGCGTATAATGTGTATAATGATTATAATTGACACGTATGTGTCAAGTGTAATGTTAATCTTTCATTTTTTATTCCAGTTCATTTTCACTCTTCATCTTTGGATCATGCAGAACTATCATGAGATGCAGGAGGTGTCAGGTTAAGGAGCCACTGGTGGGCCCTCAGCCTCCGTGATTAACAAGCTATGAAAGAGCGATTCTGATATTTTTGAGATTGTTTTGCTGAAGGATTTGTATAGGCATGGCCTAGATTTACCACCAGCTCTTCCTCGCCCTCTCTAGATCACATCTAAGCATTAATTTTCTCTGTAGTAAGAACTAGCTTGTATCACTCCGTGGGAAGGAAAGCATTTCCAGTGTCGTACAATTCAGCAGGGGCAGCAGCTAGGAGCGCAGTTTGTAAGCACGCCATCAGAGATACATCTCCCAAGAGCCCTTTCCCTACACACTGTGTCGGTAATCCCTTGGGAGTCAGGGGAGAAGCATTGTTTTGCTGTGAACGAAAAGGCAGGGCCGGATTTCCCACAAGGCCAACCAAGGCCCGGCCTTGGGGCAGCCGGGAGTAGAGGGGCAGCAGGGGTGTGGAATTCCTATCTCCCGATGCTCGGGACATGCAGTTCCGGGCTCCGGGCGGGTAGTTGTTTTCTTCATTTAGCCCTTCTTTGGTCAAGCAGAGCTAAATGTACAGCGGGGAAGCCAGCCGCTCGTTTTGTACAAGGGATCTTTACAATGCCGCCGAGATCACTAGTATGCAGCCTGCAGGTCTGCTATTCTCCATGGGGGGCAGTTAGCGGGTAGTGGGGCGCATTGAGGAACCTGGCCTTGGTGCAGCAGAGAGAGTAAATCCTGTCCTTTTTGTAGTTGGATTTCTGTAGTCCAGAAGGCAGGGCTGACAACACTGCTAGGAATAGGGTTGCAACCTTTTCTTCAAGCGAAACCCGAACACTCTAGCGACACGCTGGAATGTTTTTGGGAAAATTAGTCATGGCTTATTCATATGTAAATAGCACCACCCATTCATGTGTAAATATCACAGTGGAGACTATTTTCAGTGGGGGGCCAGAAGCCCCTATGGTAATTTTGGTTGCCCCTGTCT